GGGAGTCTGAGGACCCCTCCTACCAGTACTCAACCTGCCTGTGTGGATGCTAAGGGCCTGATGAGACAGTGCTGTGTGGACCCAGGGTGCTGTGTGGACCAGGGGCCTGTGTGGGCCCAGGGGTCTGTGTAGGTGCAGGGGAACTGTGTAGACCCAGGGGTGCTGTGTGGACCCAGGGGTGCTGTGTAGACCCAGGGGTGCTGTGTGGACCCAGGGGTGTTGTGTGGACCAGGGGGTGCCATATGGGCCCAAGGCTGTAATGCACCCAGGGATGCTGTGTGGACCCAGGGGGACTGTGTGGGCCCAGGGGGGCTGTGTGGACCCAGTGTCTTGTGGACCGAGGGGCGCATGGCAGTGCTGGGCCCGCAGTGGTGGACCGCACCAGGAGCACTGCCCACAGGGGAAAGCTTCCAGCTCCTTGCTGCCCTCCGCCCGGACCTACTCCCCAAAGCTGCCTTCATTCTTCCTTCATGTGTTCACCATGAGCAGACCCAGAAGAGGGCAGACGCCTGGAGAGCCAGAGCCCAGCCTTGGGCACCAGGGGATGCATGTGGGAGCTTCTCGTGGACCTTCCCTCCCTGCCCGCCTTGGCCGCAGCCTCCCTCTTCCCTCATGGCCCCCAGCAACACCCCCCTCTCAAGGGTCATCCTAGTTCGTCCCCAGATGAAACTGCAGTTCAGAGAGGTGGAAGAATGTGGAGGCTGTCGCCATGGAGAGGGAACCGTGGCCTCTGGAGTCGTGAGCTCTGGTTGGCACAGATCGATGGGCGAGTGTCTAATCATCCGCGCCCACTCACAGCTCCCTTAGAGGCAGTCTCCTTCAATCAGAGAGTGCCCACTGCTGCTAAGGCCTCTCCATGTCCTTAGCTGTGAAATAATGTTTGGATTCTGCCTACACACGTGCATACTCACACATACATACACAGACACACACAGACACAGACACACACACACACACACACACACACACACACACACACGTGTGTGCGTACACTAACCAGCAGAGGGCAGCATTTAGTTGCCCTAATTTCTAATTTAGTTGGTTTGCGGGGAGAAAAGTTGTTTTTTTGCTTTTTTTTCCCCTTAATTTTATTTAGTCACTGTGGATAACAAAGTCATTTACTGCTGAGTCTCGGTCATACAATATTCTCACACCAATCCCTCCACCGGTGTCCCCTGTTTCCCACCCATCAGCCTGCCTCTATGAATGACTCAAAAAGCTGGTTTATTTTTCCCTTTTTCCACATTCTGCCACCGTGTCCTGAATGCCATTGCCACATGCGCACTCATCCTCATCCTTTGCTGAAAACACAAATGAACAAACAGAACCATTCTGGATGTCTTTAGAAGCTGCCACTTTTAACATGGTATTGGGTATTAGGTTCATGCAACAAAATATTGAAACTTTCTCTCCACACACAAAATTCTGGCTTTTCGGTTTGTGCTACAGTGGAAGCGAGACTCCCGCGTTCACTTGGGGTGGCTGAGGCTCAGAGAGGCAAAATGGTGTGCTCACAGTCACACAGCAAGATCAAATTATTTTACTGCTAACACATTGCATCGTGTTACTTGTTTTTGTTCTGTTTTGTTTGGGGATGGGAGCACACCAAGTGGTTCTCAAGGCTTAGACCTGGCCCTGCACTCAGGGATCAATCCTGGAGGGGATCAGGCAACTGTATGTTATGCTGGGGAGGGAATCCAGCTGGATGCATGTAAGGTAAATGTCCTCTCTGCGGGCCCCACTGTCACGTTAATTTCACTGCATTAGTTCCGAAAGGCAAAGATCCACCTTGGATGCATTTTCACCTAGCCAGGCAGACAGATTTGAAAGTTACAAATTTTTTTCTATTCTGAGCAATAAAGGAATGACAGAGAAAACCATGTTAGGGATCAGAGGAGGAAAAAAGCACCTTCTGTTTGTGTGTCTTTGAACCAGACTGGGGTGTAGTAGCTCTGGGACTGCCCTGGGCTCCCACAGGCAAAGCATGTGCTCCAACCCCCGCGCTGCCCCTGACACCAGGGAGGGACCATACAAGGACTCTGAGGTCAGAAAAGCCTCTCTGGGAAGAGAGGAGCCTTAAACAAGCAAACTAAGCAAAGAAGCAGGTGTGTGTGTGTGTGTGTGTGTGTGTGTGTGTGGCGGGGGGGGGTCTGGATCAGGGGGCCAGCATGCAGCCTCCCCTGCCACTCTCCTTTGTCCTGCATTTCCTTGCATGCCCTGGCAGACATTATTAACAAATCACAGGCATTTTCTTGTACACCCGACTGTACTCAGGGTCTGCTCCATGCTATGAGCTCAGGGATCACTCCCGGTGAGTCTGAGGGACCTCATATGCCAGGGCTATGTTGACCCCTGTTCTCTGAGCTCTGCCTGAGCTCAGCTCCCATCATGCATTTCAGCAAATGCTCTGTCAGCCAACAGGACATGAGGTGAACACTATTTGCTCTTCTTACCTTGCTCCATAGACGCTACGGTCTGTTGTATCCTTACTATGTTCCAGACACACTCAGCCCTTACACACCCGCACTTCCATTGACAATATAGCTCACAAATAAACAAAACTAAGGAACAGAAGTAAGACTCTCATAGGTGCAATGTCAGGCACCCAAAGCTATCTGCTTCCAAAGCCGAGGCTCTTGCCTCCTGATGTGAGTCCGGGGAGATCAGGACTAGGGAAATTTGTGTGATTCTTGCATGATACAGCACCCAAGACCCACTCCACCTGCACTGCCCAGCCTATGAATTCATCCCTGGGACCCAGGTTCTCAGGCCCAGGTGAGGAAAGGAGAGTCTCCATTGGATGTCCAGGTCCTTGTCTTTTGTGGCAGAAAAGAATTTCAGGAGAAGACAAACAGTGAAGCAAGGGTTTTACTAAGGGCTGATACGCAGGGTGTTTTTTACGGAAGAGGGGTCACACCTTCTGGTTGTTGCTAAGGGCTTCTGGCGCGGCACTCAGAGATCGCTCCTGGAGATGCTTGGGAGATCATATAGGATGCTGTGGATTGAACCAGATTCAGCACTGTGCAAGGCAAGCATCGACCCACCGTACCATCACTCCGGCCCCAGGCCTGTACATGTCCCAGGGAGAATGCGGGCTTCTCCAGGGAGAGCAGAGCCCAGAGCAGGAGAGGCCTGTCGGGAGCTCCAAATGGATGCCCTGACTTGCTTTGGAAATGTTGGAAAGTTGCTTCAGCCTGGGCTCCTGTGCAGAGAATTATCTTTGCTTGGCCTTTGTCAAGTAGAAGGGTCTTATGGCCCCCTGTTCTCTTCATTCTTTCCGTCTTCCCAGTTATCTCTGGCGGGGGCTCGGCCTTGTCTTCAGCTGGCTGCGTCAGCTCAAGGATGCCTTCGTTTTAGAGATTATCTTGTCCCTCTGCATACTTCTAGGTTTTATGGTTTCCTGATTCACTGCCAAAGGAACCAACCCAACCATCTCCCACTCTCTGAAGCTGCTGATTCTGGAATAAACCAGTATGGAAAAGACTTGTGGGTGAGGCTTGATGGGAAGATGGTAACAGGAGAGCAAAGGGCATGAGAGGTGCTTTGGGTTGCTGCTTCATCCCTTTGTTTGCATTTACTAAAGGTTTGAACCAATAAGTCCATTAACTGTTATTTGGTGGGTGTTCTATGCTGTCGGGAGGTCAAGGCCCAGAGCAGAGAGCTGTGTCGAGCTCTGTGGGCATTTACTGCTATGAAATGAAATGATCTGTGTGCCTGAATCTCCAGGGTGGCTGATACAAATACTAAATGCAACAAGCTTTAGTGAGGATTTGGTGAGCCTCCTGCTCAGGGCTCACTCCCAGCAGTGCTCAGGGACCGTATGGGGTGTCGGGAGCAGGCTTGCACTCTACCCCTGCACTATGTGCCTCATTCTGATGTCCTTATTAGAACCCAGGAAGCATGACTCTTACTAGACGGGGTGGAGAGCCCTTTCTGTGCACTGTTGAGTTCAGTTTTGCCTCTGTGTTCCCCAGCAACATTGGTCTGAATGTTTCTGAATGGAAGTTGACCTCTAGATGCTATTACAAAGAATTGCTGTTTTTCTGAGTCTCTGAGAGAGTTTGAAAAGAGCAGCTCGGTACTAGGTCCTTGTTCAAGAGTCAGTAGAACTTTTGGACCTGGTGAGGCAATCGTCCTGTAAACGCAGGCCCTAAGATAGGGGCAAGTATCCCGGGTTAAGTAAACTTAAGAGAAAACACCCAAGCAGAAAACATCCTGGTCAGGACAGCACAGGTTTAGCAGGGAACGTGCTAAGGGACAGGCCTCAGCAGGACACATCCTGAGAGGGAAAGTGTGGTCCATGCAGGACACATCCTGTGGGGAGAGCACAGGCTTCAGCAGACTTATGGGGCATAATCCAGGCAGCCCTGCAGGGAGAGGCCCGTCCAGGAGAGTGAGAAACCCCAGTTCCAAGGTGAATGTCTGCCTGCCACATCGCCACCCCCGCTGACCTAAGTTTGCCCTTTGTTCTGTGCACGTATAACGCACAGCAAGTGGTGCCCGTCGTGAGAGGGTGGAGAAAAGTGGATGTCGAACCCAGTGACAGGCCGAGGAGCCTCTGGGGCAGTTGGAGGCTTGTGACCTGGATGGGCCCCCAGTCTGTCTCCTTTGTGACTGGCTCCACTGGGCGGAGGTCAAAACTGTCAGTCCACTTGGCCTAACTGTGGCAATCTACCATTCCTGGGGCTTTATTTGGGGGAAAATTGTTTATTACTGTTTTCTTACTAGTAATTGTTTTGTATAAGTTTTCTAACTTCTTCTTATTCGGTCTTAGGATATTTTGTGATTGATCAACTTCACCCGACTCTTCTCAACTGTCCAGTTTTGGGTTGAACTTTTTCTCCTACTCATCTCTTGTGATGGTTTGTATTTATGATGTATCTGCTACGATTTGTCCCTTTCCATTACTAATGCGTTTTGTTGAGAGTTTTCAGGGAGGAGGTTTCCTTTATTATTCTAAGGGTTTATTGATTTTATTTACTATTAAAAAATGGTTCTGGATCCTCTTCCAGTTCTTAAGTATTATGATCGGGTATTCACACACTTCTGTGACATGTGCCCCTCTTAAATCTTGTTACAAATTTGACACAACACCCATGTGATGGGAAAAGAAATAGAAAAAAAAGGATTCTGTGTTTGATTGATCTTTTTGTATTGTTCTATTTCTGTACCATTGAGAGCCACTTTCTCAGTGAGCCAGCAAGGAGTTTGTCAGTTTCGTGGTAAAGAACTGACTCTTGGCTTCATTGATATTCTGTGTTTCTTTTTGGCTTATTTAAGTTTGATGATGATGACGATGATGATGATGTCCTTCCTTTTCCCTCTTGTCTCTCCTTTTCTAGTTCTTTCATGCACAAGACTAGAGTATTTATTTTAGACTTTTCTTGCTTATGGTGAGACCCCCCATGGCAGTGGACAGCCTCTGCTCCCCTCCTTGTTTTTGTTGTTTTTCAGGTAAATTTTTCCCTCTTCTTTAAGTTCTTCATTGTGCTAGAGTTATTGAGTAGTATACGGTGTATTCTCATATATTTGGATTTTCCTGTCTTTTTATTGTTGGTTTCTAGTCCCATATTCTTGTGTAACTGGGAACAATGCTTGATATGATGTAGATCTTCATGAAATGATGAGACTTCTTTTGCATTCCAACAGATGATCTGCCCTTGATAACATTCCATGTATGCTTGAGAAGAATGTGTGCATTTATTTCCTTGGAGGTGGAAGTTTCTCTAAATAGCTGTTAAGTCCATCTCCTTGATTACTTCATTAGTTTATTCTTTCCTTATTAATATTTTGTCTAGATTATTTGCCCATTGATGAAAGTGGGCTCGAGAGTTTTCGAAGACAGGTGTCTTTTTGTGGCTATCTCTCTCAGCGTTCTTCGCACAGTCATGGAGGTGCTGAACCAGTGGATCGTATTCCTTGTCAATGTTGTCAATGACGGCATCTTCCCATGTTGCCACAATAGTGCCAAAGAGCTCCCAGTTGGTGGTGGTTCTGGGAGTTCTCTTCTTAAACTTTGCAGCCCTTTCTCCCTGCTCTGTGAAGTAGAATTTTGCATGAAGGAGAGAGTGGTCGATCCCTTTGGAATTTTGGGACAACAGCAACATCAATCAGGCAAAACTGTCAATTGAATATGATGTAGTCAATTTCATTGTGGAACTGTTCACTGGAAGACTCCCATGTCCAACATTTAGATTTGGACTTCTGCAACTGTGAGTTACCATGGATGGTCTTGGTCAACATGGTGAACTCAGACACTTTCTCACCCTGTTCGTTCCATTCTAGGCCATGGGTCCTGATGTGGAGTTCTTCGACTGATCTTCTCGATCCTATCTTGGCATTAAAATCAGCAAAAATGATCTCGTAGAAGATGTGGTCTTTATTGAACTTCTCCAGCTTCATGTAGAACTTCTCAATTTCTCCTTCATCATAATTGGATGTTGGTACGTAGACAACGAAGATAGAAACTGCCGGCAGTAAGCCACATCTATTCAAGTGTAATAGTCTGATTTGGGTTGTTAGGGATTCTAATGAATCAATGTTTATGGCCAAGTTTGTATTGACAAGGACACCAACGCCAACGACACCTCTTTTGTCCCATGTTCCAAGGAACAGTTCTCCAGTGTCAAAAACGGCGTGATGTGACCTGTAAAAGAGGAATTGAGTGGCAATCATGTTCAGTCTATCGTCTACTTTCAGCATGCATTTCCCATCCTGGGTGGATCTTCCCAATACCCTTTATTTGGTGCTCTGTTCTCTATCTGAGCTGTCTTTACCCCTAGAGTGTGTGGCTGGCCTCCAAGCCATGGAGTAAACCTCCTGGTATTTATCTCACTAGCCCTGAGATTTTAGAAAGTGCCACATTCGAAGCTCTTTCAGGGTCAGGAGAATGAGACCCATCATTGTTACTGGTTTTTGGTATATTGAATATGACACAGGAAGTTTGCCAGACTCTGCTGTGTGGGCAGGATACTTTTGGTAGCCTGCCAGGTTCTCCAGAGTAAGAATTAGATAGTCTCCGTGCCTGGCTGTCCTCTCTGGGGCCCCTTGGAGGAGGGTGGGTTGAGTTTCAACCTGAGCAGAGCCCCAGCAGCTAAAGACCTCTGGTTCCAGCCACAGCCATGCTTAAGATCACCTTCCACACGTTCGGACGAGCCTCACGCATGAAGGAACCAGCAGAGGAACCCAGGTGTGCGGGACCCGAGGTGTAGATCTCCAAGCCTGCTCGGATTGGGACTGGGCCTCCTCCACCCAGATCCCCCATCTTCCAGTATATAGGTGTTACACTCACCAACTGCCCCCGGCGCTGTGTAATCCCATCAATGGCCAAGACCCAGAGACTATAAACCCAGCTCCCTTTGAACTACCGCCCCTAATAATTTTTTGCTTTTTGGGGCACACCCAGTGATGCTCAGGGGTTACTCCTGGCTCTGCACTCAGGAATTACTCCTGGTGGTGCTTGGGGGACCATATGGGGTGCTGGGGATCGAACCCAGGTTGGCCACTTGCAAGGCAAATGCCCTACCCACTGTAAAATTGCTCCAGCCACCCTCCCCCAATTTTTAAAGTAGAAATTTAAAACTGCAAATCTGTGAGACATTTATCTATTTTTATTTTGTGGGGCCACTTTCTGCTGTGATGAGGCAGTCATATGGAGTTGGGGCTTGAACCCCGGGCCTCACACTATAGGCCATGTGCTTTGCAGGTATGACACATCCCTAACTCCACCCTATGTCCCGACTTGTAAAGACCATTCATGTTCAGGGTAGTTACTGATCTATGGGGCTTATTCATTACTATTTTTTCTTTTGTTTTCTGTGGGGTTTTAAAACAATTTGCAGTCACATTTTCTTCCTTCCTTCCTTCCTTCCTTCCTTCCTTCCTTCCTTTCTTTCCTTCTTTCTTTTTAAGTTCTGATGCTCAGATCTTACTCCTGTCTCTGTGCTCAGGAATCTATCCTGGAGGTAGACCCTACTACTCTACTGTATGTAGATCCAGAGATGAAACTTGGGTTGGCCATGAACCATGCAAGTCCCTGACCATTATACTATCCCTCCTAAACCTTTGTTTTCTGTATTTTAAAAAATATTTCTGGTCTCCCTCAATCCCATTTGTTTTTTCATGTGACTGGTTTTTTCTGGTGATTTTTTTGGCAGGGGCGGGGGCACACCTGGTGGTGCTCAAGGGTGACTCTTGGCTCTGTGCTTAGGTGTCACTCTCGGCAGGCTCTGGGGACCATATGGGGTGATGGGGATAGAACCCAGGTCAGCCACGTGCAATGAAAATGCCCTCTACCTGCTGTTCTATAACTCTGGTTCCTGGTGATTCTATTTCTGTCCTTTTTACCTTCTGTGTCTGCTTCACGTTTTTGTTTATTACAGGGAGTTGGTATAACACTTTCTTTCTCTTTCTCTCTCTTTCTTTCTTTTGTTTTTTTTCTGATAGAGCCTAGCAAGCTGCCCGTGGCATAGCTACTCATGGCATACTCGATATGTCAAAAACAGTAACAATAACAGGTCTCATTCTACTGACCCTCAAAGAGCCTCCAACACGGCAGCGTTGGGAAAGATGAGTAAGGAGAGGCTGCTAAAATCTCAGATCTGGGATGAATGGAGACGTTACTGGCACCCGCTTGAGTAAATCGATGAACAACAGGATGACAGTGATATGGTGATATAGTGACAGTTGCATTTTTTTATTTTATTTTTGGCTTTTTGGGTCACACCTCGTGATGCACAGGTGTTACTCTTGGCTTTGCATTCAGAAATACTCCTGGCGGTGCTCAGGGGACCATATGGGATGCTGGGGATCGAACCCAGGTCAGCTGCATGCAAGGCAAATGCCCTACCCACTGTACTATAGCTCCAGCCCCCAAGTATCACACTTTCTTTAGTCTTTTTGTGTCTGTGCTGATACCAATTCATCTTCATTTGACTGTGGCAAGTTTGTTCTTTTCTTCCTCCTCTTTTGTCTTTTGTCTTTTATAACTATCGCTCTCCTATAACTTGGTCATGTTTGTTACTGTATCACAATTTCTTTTTTTTGCTCTATATTTAATGATCTTCCTTTCTTTTTAAAAAAATTTATTTTATTTTTATAAAGCTGTTAACAAGAATTCATTACATTTAATATTTGAACACCAATCCCACCACCATCGCAACTTCCCACCACCATATTTCGAATGTTTTCCCCCAAATCCCAAATCATATCCCCAAAACAGAACCAGAGTAATTAATTTTGTATTGCTTGTTATGAATAATCCTCCAAAAATGGTCCAAAGGTTTTCCTTAGAGGAAAGTGTGTGAAGATTGTTGTATTTTACTCTGGAACCATTAAGCCCTTGTATAAGAGGTTTGTAACATGTTTGAGGCTTGTGTGCATATATATATATATCTAATATATATCCATATATATATGCACAAAGGAAGGGCACATATGCTGCCCAAGTCCACGTGCTGCTTGTGCCCACGTGGCCAAGCACATGTGCTATCCAAGCACCTATGGAGAGATGTACTTTCATGCCTTCATATCTAATGCTGGGAAATGTGTAGGGGCTGTCTCCACCTGTGGAGAAGCCCACGTTCTCTCTTGAGTGCACTACTTTCAGTCCCTCGTTCCCCATCCTAAACAAATAAAATCTATTTTACTTCACTGCTCATCTAGTCCTGAAACTCTTTTCTGTGAGGTGAGACAAGAACCCCGAAACCCAGGGTGAGGCCTGGGACTGACTTTCCTTTCCTGCAAAGAGCAAATCCTCGCTCCAACCTGAGTCTGTGGCCCCTGAGTAATCAGGTGGTGGGGATCAAGTCCGTACCTAGAAGACCAAGCAGACGTCAGGATGGCCACCCGGTAGGGCTGGCAGGGCTCTGGCCTGTGCAATGCAGGGGCTCAACACAGACTTTCTAAGTCCTAGGCTTCCCAGTTAGTCCTGAGTGGCAGAAGCGGATTGGGAGAAAGTGACTGTCTCTCTCCTCCCTGCCTCTCCTAAGTCACTGACTTCAGCATGGGGTGTTGGGATTAACCCCGGGCCAGCAGCATGCAAGGCAAGTGCTCTATTCACTCTACCATTGCTCTAGTCTCTCTCGCACAGGCTTTGGAAGTGAT